GAGCCTTTGGGACATTGAGATGATAAAATTTAAAAAATAAAAATAATTTCCATTGCAGGACATACTGTAGCTTTATGTGTTTTTTATTTCTCTACTTAACAGACATACAGTAGATGTGTAAAAATAGACAAGAAACAGATAGAAATGGAGCAGGAAGTGGGGCCTCACACTCTACTGGGCTGCTGACCCTCTGTGCACACTGCCAGTGTAGACTATAGTATTGACTACGAAGACCACAGAACAGGAGGAGCAGGCAGACATCAGATGAATGTAGAAAACATGTTAAAACGCAGCTAGTGTACAGGACCAAGTTTAGAGTTCCTGATGCCTGGCCTACAACTTTTTTTTTTGCTGCTGGTCCCCTTGTATCTATACTGATGGAAAAAAGAAACACACCATTTTCTGGAACAAGAATACTATAGTTATACTGTAGCTTATGTACTTTCCCAAAAAGTTGTCAATTTGTTTTAAGCCCCCTGACCAGCAATACGGCTTGTGCAGTGAAGTATTGCAACTTGCCAATCACATGAAAGCTCGTTAGGTGCACTTTTACCCATTGAGGTCCAGGTGGAACAATGCCTGATCAGGTCACCTTTAAAAAGGCCTTAATTCAAAGCTTAGGTCACTGCAAGAGAAAGGCCACACTTAGGTCAGTAGTCAGTTTTCTATGCATTTCTATGCATTCCATAATGCCTCGAATGTCACCAGAAGCAAGGGAGAGGGCCATTGGCATGCTGCTGGTAGGCATGTCAAGGTTTCAGCAGACCAGCAGTACAGATAACCATCCAAGATTCGGTCACCCTAGAGTGACCTCACCAGAGCAGGACCGACACATCAGACTGGTCCATCTGAAACATCTGCCACCCATACTGCTGCTGAAATTTCCGGCAGAAACAAAGCCCACATCAGTGACAGGACAGTGAGGCTCCATGCTACTGACCTTAGAGCAAGGCGACCTGTCAGAGGCCCTCTGCTTACACCTCCTAGACGTTACAACCGACTGGCTTGGTCCAGACAGAGGCTGCGATGGACTCGTCAGCAGTGGCATCAGGTCCTTTTCATGGATGAGTCACTCTTCAGCCTGTTCCATTCAGACAGGAGGGCCAGAGTGTGGAGGAAGAGGTGCTGCATTTCTTTTTTCCATCAGTATATTTATCATATTTGTGTCTGTGTGCCATCTGAGCTGCCTGTGACTCCGTAAAAAACTGATTTCACGGATGCATCTTCAATAATTAATAAGAAGAGAATCTAATTTGTCAAAATAAAAATGTTCTATTTATTTTGTTTTTTTGGTCAGTGGAGAAGCAAGCAAAATGTGTAAAACTGAGCTGGTGGTGATAAGCTCATGAAATGCTACAAATGGGTGTGGACTTTAGTTATAGTCTGACAGACACACAGTACAGAATTAATATCTGAGTGAATATCTGCATCTTACACAAAATTAAATAAAGGATATGGCACATAGCTATCAAGCCATACTTGTAGAAGCTCATGATTCGCATTCACTACAAGTTTTTTTTCCCACAAGAACGTGATGGTTTAATCAAGGAATGCCTAAATCTGGAAGGCGTGACGTCAGCACATTACTCACAAAGTACAAAGGTTAAGCCCATGCTGTGATGCCTCCATTTTTTAGTTCTGTAGCATGGAAAACCCCCCACAAATAAATCTAAGAGAAATTCTGGTGAAGGACTTAAAGTGGGTCTAATGGAAAACACTTCCTTTGAAACACTATTAGATATAAATTTAACTGTTGCTTGTATATGAGTTGTGCACGTCATTTGCCCTTCCTCTACAAAGTAGAGCTAAAGGAAAATCAAGCAAGAAAATATTAATGAATGGGTCTTTATAATTCTACTTTATCCAAATGTTTTAAATATTCCACAACTGTCAGAACACTAATGATAATATATTAAAGGACTCAAACTTAAATATAATATTTTACAATATACTCTTATAAAGTTAGGGTCTCTGGAGCTCATGATTTTAAACATTGATTTTGCTTTCACACAGAACGCCCACAGCAACAACAACAAAAAAGAATTTAATGAAGAGATTGCATGTAACCTAGGAGATACAAAGATGTAGCATAAATGATATGATAAACTCAGCAAGTGACCCCAGCAGGAAGGAAGGAGTCCGCCTGATTTAGTGAACTGGCTGAAAACCGTGCCAATGGCAAAGTTAGCGCTAACCTTCTAGGTTTGGGGAAAGGGTGGAGGTAGATTTGTCTGCTACCTATTAATAACCTACTGCCAACATATATTTAAAGATGCATTTTTTTTATTTTCTGAAGAATCACAGTGGGTCCCTGGAAAAATGCTGTATATCAGTGTGTTAGCACGTACTGTGACACACTGTCAGATGAATTAACTGATAGATAATAAAATTAAGACACTCTGGTGACATACAGGACAATCTTAAAGAGAAGTCACGGTGCTTGGTGAAAGCTCTAAATGGTAACCCAAACCTAAAATGGAGCTGCTCACATACAGTCAAGTTCAATGAATGAAGTACATTTTCCTTTTACAAAAGTGAGCATACAGTAGATCATAATGAAATATAACAGCAATAAATGTATTATAATCAAGTACCGATCAAACGTTCATTAACAATATGTTGAATACTTAAGAAAAGTAATTTAGAAAAGGCATTAATATTTAACACGGATTTTTAATTTTGCATTAGTTAAAAAAAACTTCATCATTTTGAAAGGTTTCCTTTTCATAAAAAAAGTGGTTTTGTAATTTAGGTTCTGTGATTCATCTCTCTGATTAATCTCTTAGGTTCTGTTTTGTGCAAATCCTCTAAAATGTTTCGCTTCATTGCTTTGCTAAAGATTTTGTAACCTGATTTGTAATAGAGAGTGTGAAATAGTAAAACGAGTAGTTTATAGATCACACGAAAGATAAATAAATCACATTTATTTCAAGTCACAGTACATGTGTTTTAAGAAGGCACAGGACAGTGGTTACAGAGAGAGTGTTATGGTAGGGGTTAGAGAGAGCGTTAGATTCTGGTAGCTGCTTACACCACAAGGGAATGTTTGAGACGAGTGAGTGGACAAGGCATGTAGGAGAGAAAGGAAAGGAAGCCAGCTGCTAAATATGAGAGGGTGAAAGTGGCAACAGATATGAAGCAGGAGAGGGATAGATTATATACAAAATGAGCAACAGAGTTTTCATTAAATATGGAAGAGGTGGTGCAGATCTCTAAAGTGTGGAGAGCATAAAACAAAACAGCTGAGGTAGCTCAGTCTACAAAATATATGGTTTTGGACCAAAAGTTTTATGGAGCAGATGGCTAAGAAAAGTATGGTAGAGGATTACCTGGTTTGAGTGGTTTCCTCCGGGTGCTGCAGTTTCCTCCCAGAATCCAAAGTGAGTGTGTGTGTGCATGTGTACTGTATGTCTGTGTTTTCTCAGTGTGTACCTTGGTGTTCTATTCCAGTGTATATCTCAGGGTATATCTGGGTTAGGCTCCAGCTCCCTTGTATTGGATAAAGTGGTCAGAAATAGATGGACAGAAAAATCAATAGTAAGCAAGGAAGACGATTATAGAATATATAATATGTCTGACTTGAAAAATATGACCTTGAAGTAGAGGAGTTATTCCATGAGGACATACTGTAACTGAAACACTGTTGCACAAATGCCAGAATTATGGAAGAGAAAGGAGAAAGGAATCTGAGCATTGTTAACAAAGAACAAAGAAGTGGTACCTGTGAAATAAGATTAGACAACCAAGAGACTAGGTGTGGAAGTAAATAAGGTGCCTGGGTGCTGATCCTTGCAGAATAACAGCTGTAGGTAAGTTAAATTAGAGGCAGTAGAATAACTAGAGAGCAGAAAAGATTACCATTCAAAATCACTGCAAAAAAAAAACAATGCAATTTCCAAAGGAGGAGGGAACCATAATACAGTGAAGTGTATCACAAACCACTCATGGAATTAGCACCTAGAGATGAAGAAATGCCTGGCTGATTTGGCCCTTTAAACTGATCCAAGAGACAAACTGAAACAGGTTTCCTGCCAAGTCATAGTTCTGGTTATTTTGTAAAACTAACTGTTTGGAATGAACCATGACCGAACATACATTCATCCCGTGTTATATAAGTAAATGTTTATGCAAAGGAGTTTACAGACAGAATTTCTCATAATCAGGTGGCAAATGCAGGAGCTATTTAGTTTGGTGGTATCTGATCTCCACCTGGTGGCAACAACACAATGCAGCACAACCATTACAGTGCATTGTGCGTACAGTAAATTTACACCAATGATGAAAGGTTTTTCAGTGAAAGTAAGAAAAACAATTAAGATTATGTTCAATAATTTGCAGATAATTAAATATGGTAACAATGATTGTATTTGAACGGTGCTTCTCATGCAGTACAGCACAAAACATCGTTTAAATAGATCAACGCATAAACATACTAAAACATTTCAAACATTATAATCATATTTTGAAATGTTAAGGCAGAAAATTGCTTATAGAGTAAATATCAATTTATTATTACACTAACCAATCACTCAGTCGAGGTTTGAAATATTAAGAAGGCATCGTGTGAAATTGAACGATATAATAATACTTTCAGTTTTAAGCAGTGTCCGGCTTGCACAATTTCAAATATGGACATCCTGTAAATTTAAGCTTAAGTTCAACTCACATTCACCCACCAATGTATGCAAATCACACACTTTAAATGTGATACATATGCCATTGTGCCTTAATAGCAAAACGTAAATTATTTGACAACGTTGCAATTACGTGTGCTTCGTGCAGCCTTTCTTGTTTGGTGTTTTTGCACTTTTAATATATACTCTGTCGAACTAATAAGAATTAAAAATGATGTTCATTCACATTGAAACATGACTACGACTGGAAGATTTAAAAAAGAGCGCACAACAGACCAGAGTCACAAACCCCAACTTTACTCTAGTCTCCTGTAATTTGTTGGTTTCTATGACCCCGCACGCACAGATTTGTTCCCTGCGCCACTGCACAAGACACCCTACCCTACTGTCTGCCGCAGGAGAGGACGCTTGATTCTGATTGGCGACGGCGTGCTGTGGCGTCACACGGACAGCGGCTCTCGCCAATGTTGTTGTTTGAGAAACCATCGTGACGGCTTGACTCCATTGATGCATTTGTCTGTCCTGGTGTGTTGATTCGTGTTTTAATACAGTAAACGACACACACACAAGTCCGCAGAATAACAATGTACACAGGTACGTGTCTCGAGACTCAGCATGCATTTCAGTATTTAAAATATGAGTTCAGCTTGTTTTGATTGCGGGAGTAAAGTTTGCGGAGGATGCTGTTTTCTAATTATTTTTATGTAGCATCTTGATCGCGATTTCATGTTTGGGTTCTGTTTTCTCAATATGTCATTCGGCACTGTTGCTAAGGACTAGACGTGAGTCATGTTGTGGTGTCTGATACCAGTAGGGTTGTATAGAATTGACTGTTATCTCTCCATCATTCACCGAAACATCACCGTAAAGCTTAAGCTGATGTGATGTTGAGATTTAGAGAAGAGCGTTCAAGTTTCTGAAGTCGCTACATAGGTTTGATTCTTCAGTCAAGAATATATTCGCAAAAAGAAAAAATGTAGTACTCCTGAAATGTAAACTAAGCACTGGAGGAGTAGTTTACCTACTGTATATAACTGGAGGGTTGTGGGTTCGAATTTCGTGTGGGACACTGCTGTTGTCCCTTGAGCCAGATTGTTCCAGTAAAATGTACAGCTCTGTAGATGCAAGCTGCACACGCTGTGTGTGGGATAAATGACAAGATGCTATGATGCTATTGAAATTCAAGCCAAACAAATACATTTAAAACCACTGGTTTCACAGCTCATGACTAGAACTATACTTGGTGTTATTACAAGGTACATGAAGTCTGGAAGTAGTTCTACAGTTAATTTCCTCTGTAAACTAACCTTAAACATTTAATAATAATAATAATAATAATAATAATAATA